TGCCATAAATCCTGTTACGCTGATCAAACTTTTCAAGCGCCATCTACAAAAAAGGACAATTAGAAAAACGAGAATGTATAATGCTGGGAGATATATGCGATCGACTGAAATATAATATTTGAATGTATTGACATCAGTGGCGGCTGGCCCTAAGGGGCCAAGGGGCCGTAGCACTGGCGCAAAATATGTCGGTCCTTTAAAAATATATATATTTTTTTTTTAGTTCAATAGTTATTACAATCGTCAGATCAAATTACTTATCATTTTATAATTTGATCCCGACGGAAAAATTTCTGTCGTTATTATTCCTAAATTTCCTAGACAATAATTTATCGATTGACTAAACTAAACTCGCTGGACTATCCGTCCGAGCCCATCTCACAACGGCCCCGCTGCAACACGGCAATTACGTTGAAGAAGGTCACGCCGCGCTCCCAGTAAAGCCGGTCCTACACGATGCGTCCAACGTTGGCTCCAACGTTGGATCCAATGTTGGAGCCAATGTTTTGACACACTACAATTGGCAAGTGTGTCTCCCACACGATGAGGTGAATTTTCTGTTCCAACATTGGACGCATGTTGGTACCAACGTTGTCAATCTATGTTCATTGCCGTAGTCGTATTTCGCGTAAAAATTGTTCAACAGAAAAGAAATATATCTATATTAAAAATGAAAGATGAAGACATAACCATTGCTGGCATTGCTGCAGCATGATAGTTTTACTTTGTGCAAAATTATTACATCATTTAGAGCATCTCTATTCTTGTATCCCTGATGTTTGGGATTCCATAAAATAGGATGTTTCTCATACACTTGAATAAATTCAACAATAAGTTCATTATCCCACTCTATTATTAACCTACAATCTAAAATGAGAAAAATATAGGTATAGCAAAATAAACTAAAAAAAATAAAAATCTTTGGTGCTACACTGATTCTATAGTAAATGCGACACATACATGATCGCTCGTGTAGGCGTGTGACGAACGATGGTTCCAACGTTGGAAGTTCCTTTGACGCGGGTAAATTTTACCGACATGAGCCCGAACACGTCATGTGGCCAACGTTGGACACATGCAATTCCCAAGTGAACGCCCACACGATGTGTCAAATGGCGATGTGTCCAACGTTGGAAGGCATTCGCCACATCGTGTGTGACCGGCTTAACCAGCTGTTTTTATACGATAAACGGGGCCACCTGATCGAACGGATTAGTTTTTGCGGCAATTTAATTTGAGAGTCGGTTCGCGGACACTGTTCGTATTTTTTGGCGGCGTCCGTCGCGGCATCTTTGTCGGCATATTTCTTTGAAGCGCTTGCCGCTTGCCGCACCGCACAGAAGTCAGTTTGGTCTGGAAAGACAGTGCAGTAGATATTTTTTATAAGTTTGATGCCTATTTGATTCGTTGGGAGTGATTTGAGACTCGACGAAACGAAAAAGCGACATAAAACGAGAAAGCGACACTTTTTTAACACGCATATTATTATATTAACACACAACAAGAACCTGGAACAAGCCAAGTGAGCTGGAACAAGTCTGGAAAATGTCTGGATAAATCTGGATGAAGTCTGGAAAAGTCTAGAAATCTCTGGAAACGTCTGGAAAGAGCCTGGAAATTTCAAAAAGACCTGGGGATCATTTTCCAGAATCCGGATCAGTCTGTACAAGTCTGGATAAAGTTTGTAAAACTCTGGATAAGTCTAATTATTGTCTGGAAAAGTCTGGAAATCTCTGGAAACGTTTGGAAAAGACTTGGAAATTTCTGGAAAGGGTTGGAAAAATTCCGAAAAAGGTACCAAAAGACCTGGGGATCATTTTCCAGAATCAGGATCAGTCTGAACAAGTCTGGATAAAGTCTGGATTTATTTGGATGAAGTCTGGAAAACTCTGGATAAGTCTGGATAATGTCTGGAAATCTCTGGAAACGTCTGGAAAGAGCCTGGACATTTCTGGAAAGGGTCGGAAAAATTCTGCCAAAGGTCCCAAAACACCTGGGGATCATTTTTCAGAATCCGGAGTCTGGATAAATTTGAATAAAGTCTGTAAAAGTCTGGAAAACTCTGGATAAGTCTGGATATTGTCTGGAAACGTCTGGAAAAGGCTTGGAAATTTCTGGAAAGGGTTGGAAAAATTCTGAAAAAGGTCCCAAAAGACCTGGGGATCATTTTCCAGAATCCGGATCAGTCTGAACAAGTCTGGATAAAGTCTGGATTAATTTGGATGAAGTCTGGAAAACTCTGGAAAGCTCTGGATAAGTCTGGATAATGTCTGGAAATCTCTGGAAACGTCTGGAAAAGGCCTGAAAATTTCTTGAAAGGGTACGGAAAAATTCTGGAAAAGGTCCCAAAAGACCTGGGGATCATTTTCCAGAATCCGGATCAGTCTGTACAAGTCTGGATAGATCTGGATGAAATCTGGAGAACTCTGGAAAGCTCTGAATAAGTCTGGATAATGTCTGGAAAAGTCTGGAAATCTCTGGGGCTGACACGATTTTATAATACATCGAATTAAAAAGTGAAAAATAAATATATTTTAAAAAAGCTAAAAAACACGCTTTTATAGTAAATTGAATTGAGTGAAATATAATATCGCTAGACGGTCAACGTTGACTCCAGGAATATCTTATTGGTTAGATTTTTTAGCGGCGTGTTTTTTTTACAACTTTTAGATCTGGGGACTAAGACTTCCCTCTGGGTCCTTTTTCTTGAAACGGGGTAGCGGCGTTCCCGAGAGAACGAGTGTTCAGTCTTTCTCAATGATATGCAAATGATAATTTAAGTAACAAAGACGGAACACTCGTTCGCCTGGGAGCGCTGCTCCCCTGTTTCAAGAGTAAGGACCCTGAATGTGTGCACCGCCAACTTTTCCTCTCACCAGCCGCCACTGATTGGACATTATTACAAATAAACCAGTAATATCAGGAAAAAAAATTTGGAAACAGTTTAGTGGATTAGTACGTTTTCTGAGTTGCTCAAGGAAACCTACACTTGTAATTTCGAAAGCATGATTGTGAATACGATATTATACATACCTATATACCTTTATGGATCCAATAAAAGAAAACTCTAGCTCTAAGGAAGAACTTCTGTGTTATGAAAATGAAAATTTAGTTTCACATAAAGCAAAACGAATATCAAGAAAGGCGATATAAGTCAAACAAGCTTCAATGCTACGCAACATTATACCTTACCCCGCAAGCTTTAAATGAGAATACCTTCAGGCAGAAATTGACGTTTTCAATCAAAAGAGATGGACAATAAAGTATGAAAACAATAATTTTCCCGCCAGCATTCGCTTGCTTGTCAATGCCAGTGTGTATTGGGTGTTTTGAAAGAAAATGTGGAAAAAGTCACTACTTCATTTGCAGAACTTCGCCATGGAGAAAGCGGTGGATTATTTTGGAAGAAAACAGCTCCCGCAAACTAAACTTGAACGTGGATTACTTTATATACTTGATAGGCGGCAGTAGTGTTCAAAGCCCGATTCGGATTCACTTCCCACTCCTCTGACGTCACATGACCTTGACACCACCTCCCACTCCTCTGACGTCACATGACCTTGACACCACCCCCCACTCCTCTGACGTCACATGACCTTGACACCACCCCCCACTCCTCTGACGTCACATGACCTTGACCTTGGCCTTGAAATGTGACCTTGAGCGCCTCCCACTTTTCCCTCTCTGACCTTGAAATGTGACCTTGAGTACCCCCCACTTATTCTGATTTATAGAGAATTCATATTCTTTCTTAGAATATATATTTTTCCAATTAGCTATAATTTCAATAATGAGCAATTATTCCTAATTCAACCTTGTCAGGATTTCATGAAAAAACAGTACAAAGGCACCGTCGATCTGGGGATTATTCCCTGGTACCAAAAAAGTTCCCAGGCTCAAGTGAAATTTCAGATCAAAGGCGCTAACAATCTGGAAATTTTCCCACGGTACCAAAAAAGTTCCCACGCTCAAGTGAAATTTCAGATCAAAGGCGCCGTCGATCTAGAGATTTTCCCACGGTATTGAAAAAGTTCCCAGGCTCAAGTGCCCCCGTAGACGTGTGCTTCCTTGAGTCGACCTTGACGCCCTTGACCTTGAGTTGCTCAAGGTCAGTTGTGCGACCCATAAGTTGGTATGTGAACTTGAGGTGTGACCATGAATTTCCTACAATATTTACAAGATCGCAGAATATTTTGATCTTGAGTTGAGGTGTGTATAATTGAAAATCCACTCCTCTAACATAGTTGACCTTGAATTGTTAGGTTTTAGCACCCCCCACAAACATCCACAACGGATTCCCCTCCCCCACTTCTCCAACATATTCGACCTTGAATATTCAGGTGTTAGCACCTCCCACCAACCGTGAGATGTATATAAATTATTTTCCGAGTGAGGAAAGTTGCCATAGTCGCACACCAGCATCGTTTGTAGTACGATCTGTCACCTTCAAAGTCAACTAGAAATATTGTGTTTGTGAAGTATTCCGAAAGTGAGTGTGTGTTCAAGGTACCGTAAAAATTGTTACATTTTTCCTAAATTATGAGTATTTCAAAAGATACTTTGGTTGAAACAAAGATGTTAATTTTCTCGAAAGAAGAAAAATTTCTTCATTAAAGTTGGATGAAGTTTACATAATTAGAAAACTGGTGCCCATGGTAACACGGTTTGGTAAAACTATTCTTGTCACATTGTATGAAAAAACCGGAGATGTGGCTTTTGAAACATTTTTGCCAAAACGTGTAGCGGAAATGCTACCGGAGAACACCATCGAAATTATGAATTCTTCATCTGACAAATACACGCTGACATATTTGGGGCAAAGTTCGCAGTCATATGGGGGTAACACTAAGTCTCTTTTAAATTTTGGGTGTTTGGAATAGATTTTATATTATGGGGTGTACAAAATATTATTGTTAATAGTTTTTGAAAAATGTAATGAGTTTTAGGGTATTGTAATTTGTATATATTAGAACACATTCATATTTCAAATATTTCTAAAGATGTGTGACATCTGCAATAACACTCCAAGTGTTAATGAAGACTTGGATTTCTATGTGGTCTGGCTGGCGCGCAAATTGGGAGATATGGCCCAAGAAATATTACATTTTGAATATTTCAATTCGGATGTTCCTGCAAATGGTCAAAACGATTCAAAATATGTTCAAGATGCCACCAACTTTAATGCCGGAGCAAACTTATGCCGAAGAGTATATGGTTCCTTCGGTCTTGACGAATTCTGTAGCCGAATGATCGAGGAAGACCTGAAAACATTCCTTATCGAAATACCACATACGCCAAGTGAATTGGTAACAAAATATGGGTTGGTGCGGTGCAGGAAAGTGGTCTAACTCAAGAAGAAAATAATGCACCTAAATAATTAAAATTAGTAAATTGTACCTTTGTAATAATAAATTTTTGTACATATTGGTTTGCGTTTTTGTTTTCATCCTTTACTCTTGGTTAGTTTCCCATATAAGCATATGGTTGATAATTACAAGGTTAGTTCTAGTTGAAAATGGGGCGTGTTAACAACACTATAGATAAAAATTACGAAGAGCGAATCTTGATCTTGACGCCATCTAGGACCAATAATCAACACTACACGCAATTTTGCTGTGCTAAATGGTGAACGTCCAAAGGCCGACCAAAATTCAGTTCGTTTGGGTTTAACCCAAAAGTACCACTGTTTGAGAAAAGTTTTTTGGATTGATTTTCTCCGCTTTTCCATCCATAGACGCGTTTCGACCTATTTCAGGTCTCATCAGTATGGCTAGGATAAATTTGGTCGACAAAGAGTATATAATAAACATCAGTTCTTACGTTGTACACAGAGAAATGGGTTCAAGTTAACTTTTGATGGTCACTATGATATTGAAGGGAAGCGTCTATCAAATATTGCAAAACCGATAGCAGATAATGACGTTAGTACCCAGGAGTTTGTGCTTGACAAAATTCGGTTGTTTCATCAACAAATGAAATATGCATTAGATGATTTAGAAAACCGTATAAACGGAAGATTTAAGAGCACAGATAAAAAAATGGATGATATTGGAAACATCTATATAAGCAAAGATCTGGAGAATGATAAAAAAATACGTAATTTAGAACGATGGATGGAAAATAATGAAAAAAAGCTAATAAATATCGACACAAGAGTTAAGAACTTCATTTCTTCATCGAAATGGGGAGCGTTAACAAAACAATAGATAAGTTTGGTCGCCAGAAGACAGTTGTTGATGACAGATTTCAAATTTTACGTGGTGCGTCGGGATTTGGATTTGTGCAAACACCCAATGATCAATTTAATAATGTGGGAAAGCGTTTGATGAATGTTGCAATATCGGAAACCAGTGATGATGCTACTACCCAACAATATGTGTTGACGGAGGTCCATAAAGTGCGTCAAGAGTTAGCACAAACAATAAACATATATATCAGGCTATTCATGAAAGTTTGATAAGCGTTGATGACCGAATGGTTACATTTGATAATAAAATAAAAAGATATGATGCACAGGAAGAAAATATTGTGAAGAAAATAGCTGATTTGGAAAAGCGAATGAAACAGGATATGAAAATATTGTTGGGTGTTGAGAGGAAGGCTGATAGTATGATTGCAGCTAGCAAAGTAAGAATATGACAAAAGCGCCCTTGAGAAAATGGATATTTATTATTTTTCAACAGTATTCACCATCGACCCCCACTTTCTCACCCAAAGCTCCCAGTATTTATACCCCCATATCTAAGTTAAAACTCATTAGTTTGTCTACACCTTCAACAGTTAAAGTTAGGAATCAGAAAAATAAATACTTCCGGTGCCAAACAGCAAAGCAGTCTATCACCAAGTTTGGTGAATTCTAATGCACTAATTGAAATATCGGACACACCGATTTCGTCTAGTCGCCCAAGTCAAACAATACCCATATCAGATGTTGTTATCGACTTATCAGATGTGCCAATCTACTCACCCCAAGAGCAAAGCGAAAATTTATCCTCGATAGTTAGCCAAGAAGGACAACGTTGGGATTTGAGTGATGAAGAATGGCAAACCCCGCGAAGATCATCAGCAATATTTTTGCAGGATTCTCCACCATCTTTTTCCCATGAGTCATTTGGCCACGAAGGACAACGATGGGATTTGGGTGAAGAAGAATGGCAAATTCCTCGAAGGTCATCATCAATATTTTTACGGGATTCTCCGCCACATTTTTCCGATGCTTCATTTAGCCAAGAAGGACAGCGTTGGGATTTGGGTGAGGAAGAAGAATGGCAAACCCCACAAAGGTCATCCTCAATATTTTTACATGATTCTCAGCCATCTTTTTCCGATGCTTCATTTAGTCAAGAAGGACAGCGTTGGGATTTGGATGAAGAAGAAGAAGAATGGCAAACCCCCCGAAGACCGCCATCAAGAATAATTATTCAAGATTCTCCACCATCTTTTTCCCACGAGTCATTTAGCCTAGAAGGATCACATTGGGATTTAAGTGAAGAATGACAAATCCCATCATCACCATCTTTATTAGATTCACCACCGTCCAGAAAATTTATGACTGTTTCTAAACTTTTAACTAACAAATTTGTACTAATACAATATATTAAATCTGAAATAAAACCAAAAAATATTAAAAACTTGTTTATTTATAAGCCTTATATTTTACAACTGGGTATACACTTAAAACTAGTATATATTTAAACAATATCAGACATTGTATGAAAATACGTTTGTCTACGACCTTTCAAAAATAAATCCGATACCTGCCTTCTAACAAAATGTCCCAATTGTTCGAGACTTGCCATTGTACTCAAAAGCCTATTGTCCTATTCGACGGATAGATTTATGCTTTCAAAATATCCCAGTTATTCGGAACACCTGCCCTTTTACAAAATGTATTGTATGAAAATACCATTGTCTACGACCTTTCAAAAATAAATCCGATACCTGCCTTCTAACAAAATGTCCCAATTGTTCGAGACTTGCCATTGTACTCAAAAGCCTATTGTCCTATTCGACGGATAGATTTATGCCCTCAAAATATCCCAGTTATTCGGAACACCTGTACTTTTACAAAATGTATTGTATGAAAATACCTTTGTCTACGATCTTTCAAAAATAAATCCGACACCTGCCTTCTAACACAATGTCCCAATTGTTCGAATAGATAAATTTGGTCGACAAAGAGTATATAATAAACATCAGTTCTTACGTTGTACACAGAGAAATGGGTTCAAGTTAACTTTTGATGGTCACTATGATATTGAATGGAAGCGTCTATCAAATGTTGCAAAACCGATAGCAGATAATGACGTTAGTACCCAGGAGTTTGTGCTTGACAAAATTCGGTTATTCCATCAACAAATGAAATATGCATTAGATGATTTAGAAAACCGTATAAACGAAAGATTTAGGAGCACAGATAAAAAAATGGATGATATTGGAAACATCTATATAAGCAAAGATCTGGAGAATGATAAAAAAATACGTAATTTAGAACGATGGATGGAAAATAATGAAAAAAAGCTAATAAATATCGACACAAGAGTTAATAACTTCATTTCTTCATCGAAATGGGGAGCGTTAACAAAACAATAGATAAGTTTGGTCGCCAGAAGACAGTTCATGGTGACAGATTTCAAATTTTACGTGGTGCGTCGGGAATTGGATTTGTGCAAACACCCAATGATCAATTTAATAATCTGGGAAAGCGTTTGATGAATGTTGCAATATCGGAAACCAGTGATGATGCTACTACCCAACAATATGTGTTGACGGAGATCCATAAAGTGCGCCAAGAGTTAGCACAAACAATAAACAAAATATATCAGGCTATTCATGAAAGTTTGATAAGCGTTGATGACCGAATGGTTACATTTGAAAATAAAATAAAAAGATATGATGCACAGGAAGAAAATATTGTGAAGAAAATAGGTGATTTAGAAAAGCGAATGAAACAGGATATGAAAATATTGTTGGGTGTTGAGAGGAAGGCTGATAGTATGATTGCAGCTAGCAAAGTAAGAATATGACAAAAGTTGGGATTTAAGTGAAGAATGACAAATCCCATCATCACCATCTTTATTAGATTCACCACCGTACAGAAAATTTATGACTGATTCTAAACTTTTATCTAACAATTTTGTACTAATACATATATTAAATCTGAAATAAAACCAAAAAATATTAAAAACTTGTTTATTTATAAGACTTATATTTTACAACTAGGCATACACTTAAAACTAGTATATATTTAAACAATATCAGACTTATCTATCCACGAGTTGAACTGATTCGGAAAACCTAACCATTTAACATATAATTGTTTTTTATTGTCTTTTTTACGTTCGCGAAGAACTTTTTCAACTAAATATACATCTGGGCTTCTCGTCTTCTGCAGCTCAGCTTCATAGAAACATCCTTTAATTGGTTGATTATCCATGGATTCCAGCAGATATGTAGGTGGATTGGTAATGTTAACTTTCACTATCTTAAACAGGTCTGTCGACCAAGATGGTGTATATCCTTTATCAAATATACTCTTATATTTGCTTATCCGCACAATATCTCCCAAACGAAATTTATATTTTTTAGGCATCACTTTGATATGATTGTACACATTTAAATCAGTATTTTTTTTTACATTGATGGGTTTCATGCCAATGGTTCGATGTTTGGTGTTATTATAGGTTTTCGTTATTGCGGGTAAAAGATGTAACCATTTATTGGATCCCCTGGCGGAGAACTGCTTATATAAATTATTTTTTATGGTCCTTATAACCCGCTCTACAATTGCGGCCTTCATCGTGCTATATGTTGAATAATGATTAATATTGTGTTCCATCATAAGAGCTCGAAAATTCTTATTATAAAATTCCTTCCCATGATCACTATGTATATTTGCTGGTGTGTATGCTGCTTCTTCTATTATACTTTTCATTGCTCTAGTAACTTCAACACCTGTTTTGTTCTTGTTAGCTCTAGCGTATACATACTTGGAGTAACAATTGATGCATACCAGAATATAGCGATTCCCATCATTTTCATCAGCAAATTGCTGCATTTCTGCTAAATCTATCTGCCACAAGTCTCCATAACCCTTAATAATCCTTCGTCTTCTAGTAAAATTTTTCCTCACATTTTTATGAAGTTCTCCAACAATTTTAAGTTTTTCATTGCTAGGTTCCATATCTATTCAAGTGTAGCGCGTCTCGTGGTACACTGATGCGATGTATGCATTGCTCAGTAAATTATACCCTCCTCACGAAGCTCTTCTATGATTGAAATAATCTCGTTATCGTGTCCGGTGTGTCCTGCCGCCTTAGAGCTCCACAATAAACGTAATCTATTCACCAACTCCTTGGGCTTATTCCAATAAACATATTCGGGATGTTGACATGATAGAAGTTTTTTTTGTGACATGGTAAATTTATTGTTCCTTTTGCGAATGCCTTCACCCAGTTTCGTCTTTTGCATCAAAGGTTTTATGATTTTCAAATATTTTTCCCATCTAGTTTCCGTCAGTCCATGTTTTTCATCATAGCGGTTGTATGCAGCATTCGTTAATTCTAAAATGTTTGCGTAATTTTGACGTACAGATGGACTCATGTCATCCAATCTATCCAATACTGGTGGACTTTTTAAAAACAGCAAATCGTAAAGTTCGCTGCTTCCATCGAATATAGCAATGTTTCTCGATAGGTCATTATATAATGATACTTTTCCTTCGGGAAAACGTACTTCCTTATTGCCAATGTATGTCTTATTTTTGACCTTACTATTTTTATTACCGTAATGTACCCCATAAACGGTATCATACTGAGATGGTGTTTCTTTAAGACCGCTCAAAAGTGCGTTGAGATAGCTCCTAGATTTTGTAGATGTTTTACCACTAGATACATCGGATAATGTAGGGGATGTAATTGATGATGGGGGTGTGTCGAATAGGTGTTCCCTTCTCGTTGCATCTATTGGTGTAGATATTTGTAGTGACTGGTGTGATGTGCTCTCCGCCATTGATGGTGATTTCTCAAATATTTCTGATGGATCAATCGACACGCTTACACTCTGCTTTCGCGGTTTTGTTTGTGCATTTGGTTGTTTGCTCTGTTTTTGTTGTTTCACGTCATTAGAGATAGATGTTAAGGGTTTAGTGATTGGTTCATAGAATTTCTCCAATTCAAATTTATGCTTCGCCGTTTCTGTTTTAATTTGTTTAAATTTTTTTCTAACTGCATCTGTAACAGCTACCAGTTTACGTTTTAAATCAAGTTCGTTATTCATGGTGTTGTCTCAGTACTGTGCACACATGAAATGAATCGCATACGTTTTTATTATACAAATATATAGCTGTCGAATCCTTTGCGGTATCTCCCTGAATTCAAATCACAATCTTTGTCTATAACGAGAAATCCATATTTATTGTTCCAACACTTGGAACACATCTCCTGGAATTGTGTGAATGTTACATCAGGAGAAACATGATCTGAGAAGATGTGTCTTAAATTCATTTCATCTTGTTTGAACATAATAATTAAGTTGGCATTATCACGCACAAGTTGTTTTGGGACTCGGGAATAGGTTTGTGCTAAGTAAAAAGCATCCACATTTTTATGTCTGCCCATACTAAAGTATGATCTTATTATATCTTGTTTTTCACACATGACGTCATCAAAAATGAAAACAGAGTTTGGTCTGGCATCCGATGGTTCCACAATGTTGGATGCATCAGTAAATGTGTAAAAACCCATCCCCTTGATAGGTGATAGAATTTTTCTCAAATACTCATATTTCGGTTGGTATAGGGACTTTGAATAGATGTAGACGTTCTCGAAACGTAATCCCGAAGGATGAATAAGAAGTGTGATCATAACATTAGTTTTCCCACAATTTGACGGTCCGATTAGCAAGCCGCGAATAGAACGCGGAAGCAAAGGGCCATGTCTCCGGTATTCCTTTTGCATATGTCCAGATCCAACTTTTTCATCAAAATTGTCGATATTAAACTTTTGTTTTAGGTTAACGAAACGCATGTTTTTTCATACACGCAGTCGCGCACAAATAAATAAATATTATAACAAACTGTTCACGGTATTTATCATTTAGATGTCAATCGTCAAGCGAAGTGGACGTTCTCGTTATTCAAATAAGACTGGATGTGGTATTGTAAACTCACTAATTAATAGTCTCCCGTTCGAGTTACATATACCAGGAGGCTATCAGTACGATCCGGGCACGAAAGTTCTGAAACGTGTGGCACAAGGTGATAGAGGTATAAATCTCCTGGATTCTGCATGCAGAAAACACGATCAATCTTATCTGCATAATGAAGATAATTTAACTGCACGACATCAGGCCGACTACGAGTTGGAACAACGAGCTTGGGAGAGAGTGAAATCTAAAGACGCTAGTGTAGGTGAAAGGGCTGCTGCTTGGTTAGTAACAAATATCATGAAAGGAAAACAACGATTTGGGATGGGTGTATCGACTGTATTGAAGAAAAA